TACGTTTTTGCTTTAAGAGCACATTATCCTGGTATAACGCAAATGGTATGATTTAGACATTTTTAACAACTAAACCAGGAACTCGTATGCAAACTCAAGGAGGATTGCTAACCAGGTTATCACTCTGGAAGACCTAATCTTGAAGACTATACACCCTGTACTTTTACTGAGCTGTCAAGTTTACGAGGTGTAGAAATACTCTTAGTTGTTACTCAAAGGTTTTTGAGTTAAGAAAACTCCTACTACCTAATTTCCCCTTTTTTCATTGAGTGTAAAGTAACATAAAGATATTAATTTGAAATTTAAGTTTGAACTTAGATATGAATGTGGAAAGTAACTTAAATAAAACAAATTGTATAAATTCAAATTTGATGGAACAAGGCAGAGAAAATGTCAAACTGCTGATTGCCAAAGTAAATAATATCATTTCTATTCTTTTTATTCTGACTCTGCTGATCAAAACCCATTAATTCCAAGCGTTTTTCCCTAAAAACAATATGTTCTTGCTGTATTTATCACATTCAAAACGACCGCGCGTTGCCATGGAAGCGGTAGTCAGCCATATAGCGACCCTTGTATTCTATGTACTGGCTTAACTCTATACATTCACTTCAACTATAAAAGAATAGTCCAAGCTAAAATATGGACTACTCTGAATCGCTTCTGAAGAACATAGCCAGCATCCATTTTTACCTGAGGTAGGCGCATAAATTAACCTTATTGTCAGATGTGGCGAGGTGATATAAGGGAAGCTTTAGGGAGGGCTACTATGGAACTGCTCTCAAAATTTGTAATGGAGCAGAAGCTGGGGCGCAACACATACAGTTTCTGAAAGGAATTGCATTGAACCTCAGCGGTAAGTCAAGTAATACACACTCAATTTATAAAAAAAAAACTGTGAGAAATGCGCGAAAGCGGCCGAGTTCTACAATAATCCGTAAAATCTGACCCTAAAGCACATTCTTTTTCTTTGCGAAAAAATCCGTCTGTTTGTGCTCTTTTTTTTCGGAATCAAAATCGCCTATCCTCCCTCTAAATAATTCTTGCCAAACATTTTTGAACGTTTTATTTATTTTTTATATTATTTTTTTGTTCTTGGTCAAAAAAAGAATATTTAGATTACGATCAGTCAATAACATACCCCCGCTAAAACTCATTGCTACTCGTTTTCGTTTCTCCTCTTTTGAAGAAGCTATGAATTACAGGAGGCGCTGCGCTGCGTGCGCGCTGCGGTTATGCTTCCCTCGCGCTGTACAGACTATGTCTAGTGTGCCTTTCTGCAAACTAATTCGCATCCTAGTATTGCTTTCCTCGGCCAATATGCATTGGATATATTCCAGAAGCAAAACTGAGCAAACTTCTCACATAAAAAAATGAAATGAATTTTTCGTTATTTTGTTCTAGGCAAAGCAGCAGAAGCAATGCGCTTGCTGGAGCCATTGAGAGCAGGCGACTATGCACTTGGGGTACTTTATGCTTTGAAGCAGTCCCATCATATGGCAGAAAATCCTGGTAAGAACCCATCTTCACTTCTGAAATAATGTGCCAACGGACCCCATTCAGATCGTCAATCACTACTCGAGATAGAATCCGAAATTTCTTCTCTCATTGATGCTCCAGCTTTGGGGCAATATGTTGCAGCTGAAGCCCTCTTTTTCGTGAAAGATTACGCAAAAGCAAAATTACTCATCGACAAAATCACGAAGGCTGATCCAGAAAATGCTATGGTAACTTGGTTGAAACTTTCTTGTTCTCAAAATGTATGCATTCGTGTCAGTTCGCTTGCCTTTCTGGATGGATAGAGATTTATTCTGGACGCGATCAGAAGTCGACGATGGAATTATTCGACAAAGCCATCGCCGGGCATTACTTGGATGGCTACGTCGGGAAAATGACTGTGCTGTCCTCGAGACAGCTCGCAAACGACATGAAAGCTCTAGCGAAGGTCGGTTTTGAATCGACTCTTTTTCAGACAGTCAGTGCCATGCTTTGTAAAAAAAA